AAAAAACACCCCCAGGGGGCAACCCCTGCTGGTGGCAACACTTCACACCCAAAACTGGGATCAGCTGATCTCCCACATCCACCTTGTAAAGCCCGGTGAACATATGAACAGACAACCAAGTGGCCGCATCACCAATCTGAGAAATCTAAGCCTATTGGCAGAAAGCCCGGGATGGACTTACCGTACCCACAGAGTGCGCTGTAACCGGAAATGGCGATTCTTGGTGCTTGATAGCATACGCTTAGCCAACAATATGCCGGAACCAGTGTGAGGTGATAGCAGGTGACGCTGCAAGGCCTTTACAGGGGTCTCTACAACCATGAACAGAGAATCTGATCTACAAAACCCGGCCATGGAGTTCAAGTGCACCCTAATCGCCCCGACAACATCCAGCCAATGTAAGGCAACTACTATAGTGTGGTCTGGGTAATAATGAAAAGATAAGCAGCAGGGGCCGCCCCTGGATGGTCTCCTTTTTTTAGTTATACCCAGCATCCTCCTCCTGCAGGTGGCACTATACCCAGTAGGTGATGATCTCTTTCGGTCATTGGAAGACACTGTTCTGCTTTAGAAGTGGAAAAGAGATCAGTCTGTCTGCACTTCACCTCCTTTGTCAGAGGTGCAAAAGGAAGTGAGAGGAACCCCTCCTACTGAGGGTAAACCCCACCTTTGGAAGCTGTCAACGGAGTAGGTGTCCCTATAAGGAGGATTAACCTACGTTTTGGCTGTCCTACTTTAAAGGACCAATACTGCAAACAAATGTATTCTAGGGTTGCTATATTTTTTTTTCTCTCTGGCGGTCTGATTATTCATTTTTTTTTTCCTTTTCGTTTTTTTCCTTTCAAATTTCCCGCCGGTTCCGCCCCCTGCGACGTGGACGCTCGCAAGGGACGGAACCCGGAAGACGGATGCCGGCATCGGCCGGAGGACAGAGCGGGGATCGTGGACAAGGTAAGTAATGCGCTGTGTAATCCCGAGTGTGGCTCGGGGTTAGCGCTTTTGGTACTGAAAATTAACCCCGAGCCACACTCGGGATTACTGCCAGGAAGGTTAAAGTGATATTAAAGCCTCCTTTATTAAAAATATTTCCCACAAGGAGACACACCTTTGCTTGAGGCCGTTGCCGTTCCTCGTTTTCTAGTGGGTTCCCGCAACAATCTTCCCCCCCGGCCCTTGCACGGGTGCCTCCATCGGCTAATGGAGGTACCCATGTGCACAATGGCTGTGTGTGTCCATAGACACACACACACACACACACAGCCCTGTGGCAGGCCACGTCCCTCCTCTCCGCCCAACAGTTTGATTAATGGCAGAAAGAGCCTATGGCTCCTTCGCCATCA